CACCCTTACCTGCCAAGTCAATATCAGAACAGCTGGCTGAGCCTCTGGAGACACTGAGTCTGAGCCCATTTTCTGATGTTCCCTCCATCTCTGGGTCCTGCAGAGCCCACCCCAAGGGCACCTCCTGACATAACCCTCTCCATCTTCCTAGATCATGACTGTACGTGCCAGGGTGGAGATGTTGGCCAAGTTGTAAGTACCAAGAGTCTGCCATGGGCTAGGCTGCTGGCCATTTCATGCATGGTGAGATTCTGGGTCCTTGCGGATGCTGGCAGGCAGGGGGCACAAGGCAGGTGAAGAAGGAGCCTGGAGGCATGGCTGAGGTCACCATGGGCCTCCCTCCTCCTTACCCTTCACCCTCCGCCCAGTTCAGTACCCCCTGTCACCTCCCAAATTCTGGCAGAGCTGGGACAGTGCTGCCAAAGGAGATACCTACACCAAAATTGCATTGGGTAAGGGGCTGAGTGCCCAGCCCAGGAAACTCCCAGCCACCTGGCCTTGCCGGGTATGTGGCTGGGCCTGGAGGCCATGGGGAAGGGGGTCAGGGCCATGAGAGAAGACAGGGAGAGGGAAGGGAAGGCAAGTGTCCAGACCAGGCAGTAGGACTGATTTAGCAGCACTGGCCTAACCCTCTTGCCGTGGCATGCCCGTTGGAAAGAGGTAAGTGTCATGCTCCTGTGATGGCCACATGCCAGGCACAGGAGCTGGGGTGACTCAATGTTTATGGAAGCTAGAATTGACCCTGGACTCCCCACCCCCAAAGACGCCATGCCCATCCTGGCCCCTCTGCCATTGCCCATACCATGACTGCTGTTCCTCTTTCAGCCACAGGGTGGAGGAAGAGAGCAGCTTTGCTGGCCAGCTCTCCCAGGCCAGGCAGGAGCTTGGTGGGGGAAAACTGGCCCTTCAGTCTCTCCCAGTCTTGACTTGCTCGCCCGCCCGCCCCCCAGAATGTGCCCCCAGAATGATGTCCTGGAGGGCATTTCCCCTCCCTCTGCCTCTCCCGTTGATGGATCTGTGGGGAGAGTGGCTCTTTCCCTTTGGCTGGTCACATCTCAGCCAGGGACGTTGGCCCTAGTGCGGGCAGGCAGCAGCTGCCCAAGACCCTCGGTCATCTTCTGCTGAAGCCAACTCCCCCTCCTTCCCTTCAGCAAGGCTACCCTTGGTTTCCTTTCCTTTGGGAGGCTGAGGGACCAGAGGCAGTGACTGCCGAGCCAATACGCCAGCCCCTCTGCTCCAGGGGAAGGAGGGCATCCCCTCAGTGCCCTCAGCTTGCCCGCCTCTTAGTAAGCTGTGGTATGTTGGCCAAATCCTCTTCTTTTCTGAGCTTCAGTCTCCTCACTTGTAAAACGAGGCGCTTGGACTAAAATTAGGGCCTGCTGGTTTTGAAATTCTATGTCCTGAGGTAGGGAAGGGGAAGGCAGCAGCCACTCGGGCAGAGAAGAGCCTTGCTTCAGCCAGCAGCGGCCTGTCCTGTCCTGTCCTTGTGGGTCAGGTACCAGGAGCCTTCGTGAGGGGTCCAACCCGCACACAAAAGGAAGGAGTGTGGGAATTACCACCACTGTCCGTTCTGGCAATGGGTAGGAGAGACCCGAGTGGGCCCTTTTACTTGGGTGAAGGTAACCTGAAAGGGCGCCTCGTGCCCCCTCAGTCACTGAGTCAGAAACTCTGCCCCTTCCCTTCAGGGCATGAGGTTCCTGTCCCAGCCTGGTCAAGCCAGCACTGGCCTTCCAATCCACCCTCCCCCCACGTCACACCACTGAACCGCAGAGCTGTCAGGGACCTTAGAAGTCCTCAAGCCCGTCCCCTTGCATTTTACAGATGGGGAAACTGTGACCCAGAGATGAGTTAAGTGGGACTCCTTCCTCCTCCGCGGTGTTTCCCTCCCTCATCCCTCCTCTCCCTTGGAAGACATCATGAAGGGGGTTTTGGAGCACTGATTGTCTGATCCTAGGAGCAGTGGGAGCCCCAGGCCTCTGGACAGGCCTCTGATTCAGAGGGATCATTGGAGGAGGATGTCTCTGGCATCCTTTAATGTCGCTACCCAAAGAGCCCAAGACTGCTCTGCAGAGCTGGCTGGGCTGACTGGCCCCAGAAGACCAGGCCAGGGTGCTAAGTGGCCCTGGGGACCCCTGCTCAGTGCCTCCCCTTCCCCTCCCCCCAGGCTCACTAGGAGAAGTTGTACTGAAGTCTGGCTGATGTTGCTCTGAGACTAGTGTGGTATCGTACACAGCTTCCTCGCCAGGAGTCAGGGCGCCTCTCTCTCTCTCTCTCTCTCTCTCTCTCTCTCTCTCTCTCTCTTTCTCTCTCTCTCTCTCACGCACTCACTTACTGGCTTGGGACAAGTCCTTTTTGCTCTCCAGGCCTCGGTTTCCCCATGGTTTCTGTGGGAGAGCTTGAGCTGCTCAGAGAGGCCGTGAACTAAGGTTAGTCTGGTTCCAGCAAGGCCCCGCTGGACTCGGGCCACCCTTGATCAGCATCACCAATGGATGGAAGGATCCAGGCTCCCTGGCCCTCCCTGAACTATCCCAACCTTTGTGACAGCCCAGCGTCTGTGTTATTTACAGATTACCACCCTCAGGAGCCGGATTGACCAGGCCCAGAAGCAGTGAGTAGCCTAGCCCTGCTCTAGCCCAGTGCCCAGAGCTTGGGCCAGGCCAGGCAGGGCAGGGAGGCCACAGATTAATTCATGGGACCAGCCATCACTGCCCCCATTCCCACCTCTGGGAGGACGGGGGGGAGCCAGGGGGCTCCAGAGGGACGGGGAGAGGAGCTCAGGTCATCTTTGAAGATGCACTGAGTAAGCCTGGCCCCAAGGAAGGGTCCTGTCCTGCACAGCTCAGCCACAGACACTCAACCTCATCCACCATTCCCACCTGGACAAGCTCGGGCCCTGGCCCAAGCCCCAGGCATCAGTGACGGCTGGGACCCCGTGCCAAGAGCAGTTACCGACTAACCGCTTCATTTCTGTTCCTGGCCGGATGCATCAGAGACAAGGGCAACCCGAGAGGAAGACAGAGCGGGGGCGAGAGGCAGGGCCAGTGGGAGCAGGGCCCCTGACCTTCTCCTGAAGCTGACCTGGGCCCTTTGCAATGTGTACAGAGGCCAGGGGCCCCTGGGGATCTGGGGGCATTGGGTGAGAGTTCAAGGCACTTTAGTCAGCCCCCAGGGGCCCAGCTGGTTTCTCCATCCCCTCTGGCTGCCAGTAGAGGCCCCGGGAGCTGGGGGGCCCACCCTGGTATCTTGTGATGCCCAGGGCAGCCCTCGGGGCTGAAGGTGCCAGGTAGGGGCTAGCCGAGGCCCAGACTGACTACAGTTAGAGTCTTTGGCCTCCTCTCCAGCCTCGATCCCCAAGCTTTTTCAACAGTGACCAGCAGTGTGATCTCCTAGGGGCAGTTCTGCCAGCAGTTTGCTATGTGACCTTGGGCAAGTCCCCTTCCCTTGTGAGGCCTTACTATCTCCCTCTGTAAAATGAGCATAAGAAACTATCCCCTTTGTACCCCCATAGGGGGAGCGGAGAGCCCCAGAAAGCTCCAATAAGGATCTTCAGGAAAATGCTCTTCTGTTCTCATCAACTTTCATCTCAAGCCAATGCCCAACCTTCCAGCTCAGACCAGTGCTGGCTGAAACAAGCATGGCTCACCCCTGCCCAGCCCCATCCCACCAGGGCCTTCAGTCCCACTTCTGGCCTCTAGCTCCCTGCTCAGTTTGGGGGGTGAGCTCAGATTCCTGCTTTGGAAGGTGCAGGGTCCAAGAGTCCTGCCCCAGGGGGGCTTGGGCCCTTGTCTCTGATGTGGAAGGTCAGGGGTCGGCATAGACCACTCTTGGAGTGAGCCGACTGGCTGGCAAGGTGTGACCAGTGTGTGTGTGCGTGTGTTTCTGTGTGTGTACGTGTGATCAAGAGCTGCTGTCAGCAGCTCCTCCTCAGGCAGGCAACGAGGCCCTTGGGGAGACAACCCCTGTGAATCCAGGACGTGCACAGATGACAAATGGGAACACGGATGGCAGCTCCCTGTGGCTGACCTTGACCCTCCCTAGCTCTCCTCCTCCCCAGCAGGCCTCCCCTTCTGCTGGAGGACTCCAAGTCTGCCTCTGTCTCCTCTACCGCCATAGTGCCTCACAGAGCCAAGGGGAGATGAGTTGTGGCTCATCTGCTTTTCTAGGGGAGGACACGTCGCCTTCATGCCTCCCTTACCAGGAGGCAGAATGGGCAGTAGGAAAATTGCAGGACTCAGAGGACCTGGCTAGGCATCCTAGTTTTAGGGGACCTTAGACCAATCCTTTCCCTTCTCTGGGCCTCAGTTTACCCATCTGTAAAGTCTGGGTATTGGACTTGATGATCTTTGAAGGTCCCCCACAGGACTGAAATTCCATGAAATTAAAGTCTCCTAAGTGCTGTGAACTGAGGTAGGAGCTGTGTGACTTTGAGGAAGGCAGGGACAGCAGGGAACATGGGGGACAATGCCTGGCCCCTCCTCTGCTTCCCAGCCCCCTCCTCCTCAGACCCCCTAACTTCAAACTAACCTGCTTGGCAAGGGACAAACTCACCCCTGACCAGGTCTGGCCTGGGTGCAGGTAAGTAGAGACCGCTTGGCATATGGGGCTGCGCCTCCCTCCCACTCTCCGCAGGCCGGTCACTTGTTGGACATGGGCTGGGGGAGAGAAGAGATGTGGGCCTTCCAACATGCGTGAGGCCTCTGGCTTGGTCGAAGGCAATTTCAAATTATCCTTGGAGCCTCCTGAAGGGAAGAGAGGGCTCAAAGCAGGGATAGGGTTCAGTACCAGGGACAGGGGCTCAAGGTTGTGACTGGACCAAGTCTGGCGTTTGAGGGTCAATCGTGGCACTAGAAAATGAAGCGGTCAGAGATGGGTCGTTAAGAACCCTGGGGAGTCTGTGCTGCCCCTGGACTGGCGCTCCGGGCGGGGCAGCCTCATTTCTCTGCCTGGCCCCCTCCCCGACTTCCCCAATGCTGACCTGGTTTCCCCTTCTCCACTTGCAGCAGCAAAAAGGCTGGCGCCAAGGGCAAGGTCGGCGGACGCTGGAAGTAAAGTGGAGAGAGCGCCTCCAGAGCAGAGATGGGTCTTCCCGCTGCAAGCCACCCCCTCTCCTGACGCTGTTGTTCCCCCTGGCTCCCACCTCCCAGTCTGGCTCCCCTACTGCTGTCTTCCCTCCAGAGTTCCGGGAGATATCCCAAAGAGGAAAAGGAGGCGCCTCCTAGAGCAGCCGAACAGACACGACGTCCCCCTGGTCCCCAGACCCTCATCTTCTCCCAGCCCCGCCGCCTCTGCCAGCCACCCCCTCCAGGGACTTCTGGCCTCCCCTCTGTGGGGCTTGTAAATAAAGCTCAAATGACCCCCTTCTCTGCTCAGTTTTTTGTATGTGTGGGAGAGGTGGGCCCTTCCCATCTTGTCTGAGTGGTGGCCAGGGGTGCCCAGTGGGGTGAGCACCAAACTGAACTCATCCAGCCAGAAGGGAAAAGAAGGCCAGGGAGCAAGAGCCAGCCGCAGGTTGGGACCCTGAGGGCTGCAGAGTTCAAGATTGCTGCTTGATCCCCATGGATGAGCAGGGGTTCCCTTTGGAAGGAGGAGGGGGCTGCACCCAAATGGCAGGGGGGAAGGACAAGAGGTGATCCTTCTCCCCTCACTATCCTACCAGTGCCAGGCCCCTGCCCTCCACCCCACTCAGTGGGCATGACTGAGACTGCTCTGAAAATGGTCCCCTCTGTGAGTCCTGCCCAAGCCCCTGCCAGCTTGGGCTCCTGGGACCCTAAAGGGGGGATTCTCAGCATCAGCCAGCAGGCACAGCTCCGGGGGGAGGGGCAGAAACAAGAAATCAGGCCTGGTGGTGGCATGCGGGGCTGAGATCGAAGGTGGGAAGTGGGCTGGGACAGCTCTCCTGGTTCCCTGCCACTCTCCCTTCTCCGGTCCTTGTTGGGCATGGGGTGGCGGGAGGAAGAGATGGGGGCCTTCCAGCATGCATGAGCAACTTCTCTGGGCCCAACTGAGACCCCTCCCCAGTTATGAGAGGAGCCTCCCAGGAAGGGCAACCCGGGGCATCCGCTGGACGTGAGGGGGGCAGAGTTGCACACGCTCGTCAGCCTCCCTCTCCCCCTAGCCATCCAAGGCCAGGCGGTGGCCCGGGGTGCTGCGGATGACCCCGGCACCTGCCCTGTCTGTCACAGCGCCTGCTGCAGCCACCTCCGTGGCCTCATCTGCCCGTTGTCCTGCTGCAAGTCTTCCCGCGTCGGGGCAGACACCCCGTCAGGCCCATTGCTTACCCTCCACCTGGTTGAGCCTGTCTGCCCAGATGGCTACATTAATTAATCAATAATACATTAATTAGCAAAGTAAACATTTATTAGGCACCTAGTGTGTCCCAGGCACAGTGCTGGAATCTGGGACCAGAGACACAATGAGAAGCGGGTCCTGGGGAGATGGGAGGGGCTCTCTCCTCACCCTGGGAAGGACTAGGCCCTGGGGTCAGCCTCGGCACCCTTCACCCACCGGGCAGCTCCCCTTTTCACAGGAGCGAGGGGAAGTCAGGAGGCCGAGCACCACTCTGCCCATTTCATAGATGAGAAAACTGAGGCTCAGAGAGATGGTCTGGCTGTCCTGGGCCCTTTTCTGACCATCTGCCTCAGTTTCCCCCTTTGTCTCTGTCGCCCGCCTCCAGGAAGCTCTCCCAGAGCGCTCTCAGCCATTCTGTGGCAGGACAAAGCCCCAGGGAATCCCTTCCTCCTAGGCGCTGAGGGCCCCGGGGCCTGGGACTCAGTTTCCTCACGAGTCCCTCTAGAAGACGGGTCAGGGCCCGGCGTCCGTCCCAGGTGCGGAGGGCGACGGAGACGAAGGTGCGGAGGAAGAAAGCAAAAAGCAGGAGCGGGTCGGGTCGCCGGCGGCGCGGCCTCCGGCCGCCAGAGGGCGATGCAGGCAGCGGCCAAGGCGCAGGCGCGGCAGCTCGGCCTCGTCTCTCTCGTCCCTACTTCCGCCGCCGACAGGAAGTTCCGGGAGCAGCTGTCAGAGAGAACGCGCGTCATGGCCCGCAATGTCCTGTGAGTACTGGGCGAGGCGGCCCCGGGAAACTGAGGCCCGCCCACGTGACCCTGGCCTCTGGAGCGGGGCTGGCCCCCAGTCACCCCCAGGGTCGTCGTGCAAGGCCCTCCTTCCCCCACGTGTCCCTCGCCTTTGCCCCGCCCAGGGCGCCCTCCCCGCCCTCCTCCCCCTCCCACCCCGGCTCCCGCTGGCCCCGCCCACCCCGGGGCGGCAGCGCTGCACCCCCTCCTTGACGGCGCCCTGGCGTTCGTTCGCGCATCCGTTCACTCATCCGTTCACTCGTGCATTCACTCGTGCATCCCTTCATTCAT